TGCCGACTTTGTAGTTTGCATGACGTACTTCAAAATGGCTTGTCTGGAGGAGCCGCCCCTTTCCTTCAAGGAAGCGACTGCAGCCTTGATCATATCTACATATTTCGGGTGAGCAGCTGGCACCTTAGGCTTGGCTGAGGTCTTCTTCTTGGGTGATTTGTGAACGGGAGCTACGGCTGCGTCAGTCATCTTGGATTGCTTCTTGCGAACGTCGTTCTTCTTCTGTGTACGAGAGGAAAATGAATAGACTAAACGCGTGTATTGTGTAGACCCATACAAGTAAAGCGCGGACTTGATAGTGAGCACGCCTTAATTTTACCTGGTTTTGACTTGAGATAAATCTTGTGTTTGTAATTTCATGACAAATACGTATTTCAAGGGTCATTTTTGCTAATTTTCCCAAAAATTAGACTTAACCTGGTCAAAGAAACATTTGTCTACTATACCATTCTCATACTGTGAGGAAATTGGCAATATTTGAACTCAAATCACGGTTTTTTAGAGCCCGACTTTTCCTTTTCGTCCGTTTCAGTAGTGAAAAAGACCCAACTTTCACTCCAGTTCCGTAACACAGGGCAGGTAAGTGACTTTGGGAGGGCTAAATAGGTGCAAATATCAGTCCACTAGACTTTTTCATAAGTTTGAGCAATCTCCCACCTTTTGGGACTTTCTTATAAGGAAATCATAGAGGGCATTGGCGCTCAAAATACACCACGGTGAAAATGTATGGTTTAAAGTTCATTAACGTTCTGTATTGAGATTGGCGTGAAAAAGAGTGAATAAAGTGAAAGAAATTAGGAAAAACTGAGAAATGAAGAAAATCGCGTTTTGTCTCTTACCTTTGAACTTGGACACATACATACTTACCATATCANAATCCCATGACAAGTGTACGAAATTTTAACAACACAACACTTTATAAAACATTCTGTCAGGGTTTGAGTAGATCTACTCAAAAATTAAACCCCACCCCACCGTATTGTGATCCCATATTCTCGCCTAGTGTTTCTAAGTAAATTGATTAGACCTGTAGGATAATCCGGTCATTGGCGGTAATCAACATAGACGTTCGGTCGGTGTATTTTGCACATGGCTTCACGGTTAAGTTAGGGCTAGGTTTCATTCATTCATTCATTCATTCATTCATTTTACTCATTCCATACCTCAATATAGGAGAATCAATTATTATAAACGTGGTCAATGGTGTGTTTTTTACACTCAAGGTTTAGACTAG